CGGGCGGCGAGCACCGCGGCTGTGGCCCTGTGGGGGGAGCGCGAGGAAAGGCTTGCTCAGGAGCAAGTGCGGCTGTGCTTTACAGCAGGGGAAGGGGAATTAATGGAAGCGAGACGGTAACCTTGAAAATGCTGAAGTCATTTTCGACCTCAGAACCCGGAAAAGGTTGCAAAGTGTGGAGAATCCATGTAGGACTACAAGAAGGCTTGTAGAAAGGAATCTGATAAAGGCTTAACGTAAAACTTAAAAACTACCAACAGATATTCTCTTGAATACTTCTGGGGCAGGAACCCACAAGGGACTTAGCAGGCCCGCATTAAAAAAACACCCTGCTGAGACGGTGGTGGTAAAGAAACTAAAGGAGTTCTTCATGTTTGTGTCCTGTCGAGGAAAAGGGGCAGGTTCCTGTCCTGGATCCATTTTTATGGGAGATGTGTCGGAGGATCTGCCTTGACTCAGGTGACAGCAAGAAGAGGTTAAGGAGTAGACAAACAGTCATCAGTTCCTAAAACTGGCTAATATTTACTTAGTAACTCACGGGTGACTCAGGAATGTGGCAGCTTACCCACCCAGCCTTCTGTATAGCCGCTTCATCTGAGAACTTGGAGGAGGCATGTGTGATGCTATTTCTATATTTAAAGGGTCCAGAAAGAAACAGCAACATCCTGACTTCTGCACCAGGCAAACCAACAGAAACCATTTTCAGTGATGTAGCTAGTCAGGAGAGTTGCAGAGTTTTTATTCACATTCCTCAGGCAAGTCTTGGAATATGTTTGATAAGGATTTGGTATGGATATGATTTCTGGAACTGGTGCAGTTGATATCATCTGTATAATTTCTAAAGAGACTCTCAACATACGGAGGTATCAAAGGCCTTTAAAGAAATCCAGTGTTATGCAAAAAAAAGAAACGTCTGCGGTTGTCTGCCACATTGACAGGCAGAGCTGTTCTGGGGTCTTCATTCAGTATGTTCAGAAGCAACTGGAGGAAGAAAAGGTGAACAGTCAGATGAAGTTTGCTGCTGACGCTGATTCCTGCAGAAGTGAGGCCTGTGAAGAGTTGCAGGAACACCTTATAGTCCTGAATCACTGGGTCATGTCACCCTGTCACGGCCAGATCATGATCACTCTGTGATGGTCAGGTGAAGTCCAGAGTAGGTACCTGACGTCCATGAGGAAGACCCACTAACATCTTTTTGTATATAAAATGGATGTGCTATAAGCTGACTGATGATGCTTGGGAGCAAGAGAAGTAGGTCATAATGCTTTTTTATTAAAATATCAGCTTACCTCTTAGCAGCAACTCATAAAAGGTAAAAAAAAAAAATGTTCAGAATATCTAGAAAATTAAAAAGGGAAGTATCTTTTTGTTATTATGATCTATGCAACTGATGGTTGCAATTTGAATGTTGTATACGGTTTACATAACTTTTGAGATGGGGAAGGAATCCAGTAGAATGAACTTGAAAAGGTTTAGAAGAAGACAACAAGCACTAAAGGACAAAAAAAAAAAAAACCAGCTTCTGAAGAGGGATCAACTGAGCAGGACTCTGCTTTGGAATGGTGGTAACTGAGGGGATATAAAAACTGTCAGCATGAAGGGGATGGTCCCTGTATAAAATGGAGGGGAGTGCCCACTACTTTTAGACATCCTTCTCAAGGGGTGTGATCCTGCTTTACTTGGGCAGAAATGACTGTTAATTTTGTGGTAGAACTCGGTTCTTTAAGACAAAAGACTGTGAAGGGCCAGTGGAAGCTGGCACCTGCCTGTGCTTTTTCCCTTGTTGAACTGCACTGAGCGGGGTCAGGGCCCTGCAGTGGAGGCTTTCAGCACTTCACACTGGTTATATTAGTGGTTTTCTCTCTGTTGCCATCGTGCTTCTCAGTGGGAGAGACTGGGTGCCAAGCCTGGGGCTCCAGTTTGGGAGCCAGACAGCTTACTATGGTGACGTTAGGCATTTTGTGGATTTAACCAGCATGGTGCACTCTTCTTCTAAAACTAAATTTAAAAAAATACTTTCTCGTGTGGAATATGCCCAAAGTGTTTTATTGTCAGCATGTTTGAGTGTGCCTCTTCACTCCTAAGCAAGTCTTGCAGGGTTTTGTAGCTTTTACCATGTTCCAGAATGTCTCATCAGTCTGAACGAAGCATTTAATTTGCAGTAATTGTCAATGGTTTACCAAGTAAAATGCAATTAGTGACTTTTCAGGGAAAGATTAATCTTAACTGATAAGGAAGAACCAGAATGTTGAAGGCTTCTGCAAGTGGAACCCCTTCATTTCAGCAATTTAAAGCTTATTGCTTTTTTTTCCTTTTCCTTTCCAGGGTTGATAAAGACAGGAGTGGAATAATATCTGATAATGAACTTCAGCAGGCATTATCCAATGGTAAGTCTGTACATGATGAGCAGGGGGATAGCTCATTGTAAACTTCATGTCAAATTTCAAGGGAGACTGGTTACCTGATGCCAGAATTCTTTGATTTGGGCAGGTGGGGGTACTGTTCCTACCGCTGATTGATACTGCTTAATTACAACAAAAGGCTGAAGGGGAGGAAAGAAATGGACAATCCTCCTGATTTTATTTGAGTGATTTTCTAAAAACTTTTGTTGTTGTTGTTGTTAAACTCATTGTTCCTGGGTTTGGGTTTTTTTGGTTTTTTTTTAATTATTTCAAGGGAAGTTTTCTGGGTTTGGTGCACGTTAGTACTAAAGCATAATAAACTGAGTATGTATTGTAAACATTACTGGTTTGTGTTCTGGGGAATGAAGGCATGCACATCCCTTCATTTTTACCAGCTCTTCTTCCCAGCAGACATAAACAGTGTTTTACATATATTGCCCTCTCATCACAACTGAAGCTCTGTTTTTTAGCCAAGATCAGTGTGTAACCTGAACACAGGTCTGCTGTTTACCACCAGCCTTTTTACTGCACATAAAATCTTTTCATACAGTACAGTGCAGAAAATGAAGATGGTAATTTTAATTATTTTTTTTTTACCAAGTAAGGCATGTTTGGTTTTTTTCCCTAACAAAATAGAAGACTGCACTCTAGATCTAGCACATAAAACTTTCTACTAGCCTGTCAGGTCACTGTTGTAAAGCTTAAAGAGTAATTAGGGTATGGTCAAATATTTTTTGCTTCTCACGGAAGCAAAATAAAAACCAAACATTTTTTCCAGTAGCCTATTTTTACTTTTATTTTCCTCTGGTGACTTAGGGTGGGTAGGGTTGTACTTTGTGGTGTTTTTTTTTCCCTGTAAAAATCTGAAAAAGTGCATATTGAGCTCTTTGTGCACCTCTGAGTCCATATCAAGTTCCTCTTCTCCCAGGGTTTAATTCCTTCATCCTTCCCCTGCTTTGTGACTCAGAGGGGCATCAGCTGACGCTTTGAGCTGCAGTGCAGGCAGAATCAAGGGCTCCTTTTTGTCAGTAATCACCTGACTTGAAATAGATTTGGATGGCTCCGTTTAGTAAAGTTGTGGTGGTGTAACTAAATTGGATTCACTAGAATATTTGTTTAATAATAGAGCTGATAACTAAAAAGCGATATATTGTAGCTGCTGCACCTGATCCATCACTAAAATTCACTATATAACGTATTCTCTAGTGGGTGGTTGTGTGGAGCTGTCCTGCAATCTAACACAAGCTAAAAGAATGTTATGTGTTTAACTCTACAACATTTTAAAAAGTCTGCATAGTGCTCGTTAAAATTTGAATTTCCACGTGGTTTTGACATTCAACTTTTCAACATGTCAAGTGTATGCAAATAACAGTTTACTGATGTGGGAGGGACTGACCATCACTTCAGGCAGTTGTTTGCACAATACAGTCCTGTGCTTCCTGCTCGGGTGTAGGGTTTTTTTTCTGTGCTGTCATGTAAAGTTAATAGTAAGGTCAGGGAACAGTCTTCTAGTGCTCGTTGGAGTAGACTGAAGCCAGTACAGTTCTTTAGCACTGGATTCACTGTATACTGTATCAGTCTTGAGAATTTCACCACAAAGTTAGTAAAATCCCAGCTAAAATTTCACCAGAAAGTAAGTTAAATCCCAACTGTGTTTTCTTCCCTTTTTCCTCTACTCTCTTCGGAGTATAAACGCTGGCAGCCTATTAATAATTCCATTATTTTTTGTTTTTGTCAGGAGACATACAACTCTAAGGTACTGATGTTCTCTGTCTAAAATACTGCTTAAGCATTTTCAGAGTGATTTTCATTCTTCTCTGCTTACGTTTCTCTTTATGTGCAAATAATCCCGTGCCCTGCCTGCAGTTACAGGGTTTTTCCCCGTGGCTGCTTCCTTAGACTTGCACTGACACTGCTTCCCTTCTAGGGGGGAAGTTCAGTGCTGGTGCAAGCACTGCTGACACCACTGCAGCTTGATCCCCCCAAAGCCTGCTTAACACCAGCACAGCCTCTGTTAGGGATCTGTGGCCAGCTAACTGTGTCACTGCAGATGCCTCTGCAGTACCCCCGCTCCTGCTCGGTCCCTGTGCTCGGCCTCAGTGAATTTCATACAAGCTTCTTGGGCCTCCTGGTACGTTCCCAGGCTCTAGAGAAGTGGTGGTAAAATTCTAGGTGAGGCACAGTATTTCTCTTGAATTAAAGCGTTATGGTCCCCAGCAAACTCTGAAATGCTCTCAACCAAGTGAAAACTATTGTGACTAGCCTCTCAAAATACTCAGAGAAGTACAGAGCTCCCCTTCAGGTGATTACTGCTCAGGCCCTTTCAAGCAGCAACATTCTTGGTCTGAAAATACTAATTTAGACTAACACTTGATTTAGCAGAGGTGGGATTTATATTAAATCCAGCTCAGAATTGCACTGTGTGGTTATGCCATGTTAGGAACCATCTCACTTCAGTCAGAAACTAAATGCCCTACAGTAGCCCTTGCTTGAGTTGAGTTAAAACTCTTCTGCTCCCATCAGTAGAAAAGGTGGGACATCAGTTTTGATTTTGCCTTTTATTTGGTAACTTGTGACTACCTGGGATGAAAAAAATCTTCCTTAGTCCTTCCAAGGTTTTGGGTGGGTTTTTTTTTTGGTGCAGCCTGGAAAATGTTGGTTTCTGTGTAGTATCTGTAAAGCATTGGCCTGAAGTCATCTCTGAATGGTCAAGAACATAATTATTTCAAAGCAGCCTTATTTTATAGTATGCCAGCTTCATGTCATCTAGCTCTGAATTCACTGTTTAAGTTCTTATCTGATTTTTTCATTGGTTTGTTGGGGTTTTTAAGATGTTACTTAGCATTGAGGAACTAAGTAATTCTTTCCATTTCAGGCACGTGGACGCCATTTAATCCAGCAACGGTCAGGTCCATTCTTGGTGAGTGCAGTTGTGTGATGTGAAATAGCCAAGATACTGTGGAGTGATCTGTCCAGACAACTGAGAACTGTTTTAGAGAAAAAATTATCTATCTCCTTAGAGTACAGTACACACACAGCATGTATTTCTGCTGTAACAAGGAATGCCTGTTCAAAGGCCTTTTGGACCATTATGGCTGCAGCGTTAACAAGCTGGTCGTTCGTTGTTAGATGCGATGTTTCAATGTGTCTTTACTCTTTATTTTTTTTCTCCAGATAGCCCAGCTGTAGTAAGTTAACCTCAGGTATTTTCCCTCTGGAATAATAGAGGAATGGCCTTTGTGTACACAGGCAGGCACCTGTCCAAGTAGCCTGATAAAATGTTACTGTACAACCAAACAGAGAGTAACTGTGACTTATGTGTGGGGAAATGGTCAGCTTAAATTCTCCAAAAAGACAGTATATAGCTTGTCTTCATAACTAGTTTTTCCTGTCTTGCATTTTAATCCTATATTCTGCTCCAAAAAAAGACCAAACAGAAGCTTTACAATGTTTGAATTCTTCAGCCCTAAAATAATTGCCAGTGATGTGGAAGACAATGGCGGTAGAAGAGAGGGATAAAAATTCAAGTACAAAAAAATCTTTTCTGTCCTACAGTTCATAAATCCAAGGACTAAATCTTTTGGTTTGTTTTCAGTAAGTGTCCAGCAGCAGTCTGAGTTCCACCACTGTGTGACACGTGCTGTCTGTGGAACAGCATCAGTAAAAGGCAGATGAATAGCCTTAGAAAGGAGCAGCCCCTCTCTCTCTAGTCACTGGATGATCAATCAAGCCTTAAATGCTTTTACACTGAAAATGAAAACCCAGAGAAAACAAACATTCTGTGATCCATTCTGGTCCTCTTTTGTCTTGCTTTATCTTATTCTCCTTTGGTGGACAGCTGCCTGCATTTTTTTTGGCAGTACTTTCCAAATTATTACTTGTATTTGTGCAATTTCTTTTCTCTCTTCAGTGCTTTCCACAAAGCACACTCACTTCCTTCTTGCAATACTAGCAGATCATCCTGAAGAGCAGTAGGGTTAAGGTTTTATATGTGTTTCTTATTTGTTTTATTTCAGGGATGTTTGACAGAGAAAACAAAGGTGGTGTGAACTTCAATGAATTCACAGGAGTCTGGAAGTACATCTCAGACTGGCAGAATGTCTTTCGAACGTATGACAGAGACAATTCTGGAATGATTGACAAAAATGAACTTAAGCAAGCACTAACAGGTTTTGGTAATTCATTTGTAACTACAGTTTTTATGATTGGGTTATGTCGTCAGATGAGCTTCTTATTGTCAGGGCTGTACTGCTCTGACCAATGGGACTGGCAATGAGGCAGGTGCAGTGCAGTTTCCTTTTAGGTAGAGGGTCCCTTTAAAGCTGCCCATGCCACCAGCACTGTTCAGGCGATTTCCTTCAGTGGAGGAAATGACCCAGGACGTGCCAGTACCCGTGTGGAATGTGCTCTGCCTCCGGTGGCTGCTCTGAGCATGTCTGAGCTTACCGAGGTACCTGACACAGCTGCCTGCTGTGCAGAACACAGCCTGCTGCCTGCGGTGGCACTCCCAGGGAATGTTGAAAGGAACTTTTGCTGCATTGACTTCACTCACAAAAACCTGAGTTGCAGCCCTAAACTCTTCCCTCAACCAACTAGTCACTGTAATCAGTGATGAAGTTTACTGCAGCTCTGTCTGTAATGAAGCACGGGGTTTACTGCATGCACTTGAGTTTTAACACAGAAATACCTGGCAAAAACCACTGTCTCCTGTAACTGCTTGCTGCTTCTGGTTTTGTTCTGCACGCCTGCTAAACAGCCTGGTTATTGCTACGGGACTGGGGTAATTGAAACCTTTTAAAGTATTTCTCTTTCCCAAGGTTACCGGCTGTCTGATCAATTCTACGACATCCTTATTCGGAAATTTGACAGACAAGGAAGAGGACAAGTTGCTTTTGATGATTTTATACAGTGCTGTGTTGTTCTACAGGTAAGAACTGAGATGTACTTTAATTGAAAAAAAAAAATCACGCTTTCTTAAACTTTTATAGTTCTCAATTTAACTGCTGGATTTGGAACTTGCTTACAAGTGAACCATTTGAATGAAGTATATGAGAGGTGCTAGAAACTTCATTTATTGTTTTTCACTTGTTATCCATGCACGTCATGGGTAAATTTGATGCAATTTTTTTGTCCTGTTAAACACTTTTATGGGGCAAACAAATGTAAAATAATCACAGTGTTTTAAAAGGAAACCATGTAATGCTGTTTCCACAGACACTTCCTCTGCATCTTGAGCATGTTAAAACTGGAGTGTGCCCTGTCCCGTGGTGCCCATAATTTTCATAACCTGAATAGTGAGCCTTTTGTGTCTCTGTTTAAGGCTCTGACTGGATGGAATTTGACATAGCAGCTGAATTATTCCATCTTTTGTCACAATTCGTCTGAAACATCATTTGCTTTTATATTAATTTGTAATATAATACAATTACACTTCATTATAAACTTAAACTCTGGTGAACAGGGCTTTGAAATTGATACTAACAATATGTAAAGCACATTGGGCTGGAAGATGAGAAATGGACAAAGGTACTTGTTGGACTCTGCCTCCAGCTGCCTCTCAGATGTCTCACAAGAACTGTGCATTGTTTTCCCCTGCTTCAAAGGCAGTTCTGAAGAGCTGTCTGGTCTCCAAAGAAGTGCCTCAGTAGCCTTAGGTATTGCATCTTAAGGTGGTTGGGTATATCATCAGAGCTCTAGGAGCTCAGGCGTGAGCCATGGTACGTGGTGACCTCTGTATGCACGAGACTGGAGAGCGTCTATGGGGAAGTAAGTGTTCACACAGCTACAGGAACCCACGTGTCCATGTACAAAAATGCATCTTTGGTTTTATCCCCTTTCCAGAGGCTGACTGACGTGTTCCGGCGCTACGACACCGATCAGGACGGCTGGATTCAGGTGTCCTACGAGCAATATCTTTCCATGGTCTTCAGCATCGTATGACACTGATACCGAGGAACTGCACACCGGCACTACACAGACTGGAGCTGCCAAATCATCCTGTACTGAATAAGATTATTGATGTATTATAATGGATGTAACTTCACGTTCTTAAATTTTGTATGTTGGTCACCACATTCAAAATCTGTACTTGAGTTGGTTTTTATTTTGTGTTACTGTACAATACAACCATCTCTGCTTACTGTAGTACAGAAAGCACAGAATCTAGATTTCACTGGTGCAGTGTCAAACTTAACCTTCTTCCACATATCATGCATGAGGAAAAATGACTCTTTAGAAATGCCAAATTAAAATAATGCTTGTTGGTTTATAAGAGTTGAAAGTTAGAAGCTGCACAACATGTTTTGCATGTGCCTTACTTTTTTAAAGAGTTTAATGTATTAATTTTTAATACAGAATTTAAAATTAAGTAAAAATATTATATCAACTTTTTTAGTCTACGTCACTTTTGTACAGCTTTTTTTTATGGGAGTGGTGGTTTTATTTCTGTATTCTAGTTTTCTACGGTTCAGGGGTCCCTCCCCCTTCACGGCAATGGCCTTTTTCCCTCTCCCTATATTTTTATTTTCTAGCTGCCTCGTTGGGACATCTTCAGCTAGAACTTCTTCACGCCTGTGCCCACTACTGCGTCCTCCTCAGTGTGAGCTCCCCACCAGTCCAAACTATCTAACTGCTCTGGATATCCAGCTCCCTCCGCTTAGGGGGCTCATTTATCTCCATCAGACCCTTTCTGTGCTGGGGCACTCGGTTGTTTGGCTGTGAGTGCACGGCCACTGCCCTCCCACACTGTACCCTCTGCCACACCATTTAGTTCCTGAGGGACACGCTGGAGAAGCTGAAGTGGAATAAGCAGTAACTGAGTCTCCTCACGCACCAGCTCCTGCAGGAACTTTGAACAAGCAGCTTGGTGGAAGCAAAGGGAAGTTAACAAGTTCTTCTAGACTGCTCCAAGAAAATCTCTCCCCAGCACTATCCAAAGCATTTAAAAATACTCAGGCAGCAATACTACTTCCCTGTGATTGCTACTCTTCAGGGTATGCTTAGAGGCAAGAGCTCTCAGCTTTTATCCAAAGCTAAATAGCTTATCCAACTATTTATTTTTTTCCCATTACTTTGATTGCTTTATAGGTTCTACTAATTCTTAGTATGCTTTTGCCAATAGAAGGGATCAAGACTTTTTTTAATATTAATCAATCCATCAAATGAGTTTTTAAGTCAATTTGTAACCACTTCATTCTGACCCAAGTCTGCATATATATCTCACATCTCTTTTGACTCCGCAAAAATGAAAGGAAATCATATGGCCTGTTACACACGAGTCCCAAGGACTAGACTCCATCCTCCTCACACAGCCTCACGCTGTGACATTCTCCTTTCTTTGCCTAAACAGAAATGTAGTGTATCAATTTCTAACAATATCCTAATTGTAAAGACCAAATTAACTGAACTGGCTTTACATTTGCATGAAGAAACCCAAATCTGGATTTTCATGCAACGGACCTGTATTCTCAGTGAATAGTCTTCCTAAGTAGATAACATAAAAGTAAATCTTTCTTTTTTTCTGAGTTTGGGAAGGGTGTTAAAAGGGTTATTAGGTTTTTGCTGACATAATAATAACATTAACATATTTTCAAAAAAATAACAAAAGATTTTTCTCTGCAATATACTAAGATATAACAAATACATTAAAAAAGCTTAAACAAAATAGTATGTTCACCTTGGTTACATTCGTTTGTGTTCAAGGTGTATTTCACATATTAAAAAATAAAACCCTACCTCCCTTTCCCCTTCTAAAGCCAGTTGAACACAGAATTAAATGCAGTCTCCTTCTTGAAAGCCAAGAGATGGGGATTCTCCAATCTGTTCATCTGTTTCCAGTTCAGCTGTTGTTGCTCCTCAGTCTTTTCCTCTAGTCTCTACCAGCACATTGACCAAAGTCTGAATATTTATTTCTAGAAAGGGGAGATAAAAAAAATGTTTAAAGTTACTTCTATTTCGTGGTCTTTCACATAATACAGCAGAGACTGTTAAAATGAAAGCTTTATTAACCAGTTACCTAGTTAACTAATTCGACTACTGTAAGCATAGTTTGCATTTGTCCAAACCAATGCCCAATGACAGCCACACAGTCTCATATGCCCACCTCCCTTTAAATCCCTCTGATAATCTACTTCCAAATCTTTTACTTTCATTACTACAACACTACTTTAACATTAAGGAATATTTCTGCAATAACTGGAAAAAACTAATTTGTCACAGATCAAACCAGCTCCTGGATAACATGTCTCTTTTGTTACCCCAATGTGTTGGATCCAGTTGGAGTATTTCCATCCATTCCCAGGCCACCCACGCTTGGCTCCCTGTGCAAACCAGCATTTCCTCTTTATTCCCTGCCCACACTGCCACCCCAACAGGACAAACTCCGACCGTGAGAGAAGATGCAAGTTAACGTGACGACCTAGGACAAACCTTTCAATTCAGGAAATGTGCTGTTCAAAATTTCCACTCACTCACAGCTCTATTTAGTTGTCAGGAGGCAAAGTCTCCTCAGAGGCAACTAAGGCCATTCTTCAACTGACACAGATGTTGAGCAAGACGAACTCAACTCCCCTGAACGGAGCGTACCAGCTCTGCAGCACACCAGCTCCTGCTCGCGTTAAAGCAACTATGGTGATGTAACTCATTTCACATGCAAACTAATCACAATCTTACTTTGAAGTGCTGGATAATACGGAGCCAACTGTTTGAGCATCCTGGTCATTGTAGGTGTATCCTTTCCTTGTACTCTATTCACAACGTTAGGAGTAAGACCAACAGCATCTTCATCAGACATCTTATCCGAGCTTCTGAACTGCTGGTAACTTCTGTATGAACCACTGCTAGAAAATGAGTACTGATGTGAACTCCAGTCACTCTTATACCCTGACTTCTGATGCCTGAATCCTTGACACCTAGAGTCCAGGTTCCACCTCGAGTCCTCGCTCCACCGCAAGTCCTGGTTCCACCTCGAGTCCTCGTTCCACCTCGAGCCACCTCTTCCTGAAACAGCAGAATTTGCAGAATCCATACAAGTACTCACAGACTCATCATCCTTGTAAGAGGAATAGCTTTGCAAAGAATAGTTCATGGAGTATTGTCCAGATGAAGGGTATGAGGCAGAAGAATTGGGGTGGGGTAATCCCCGATTGCTTATGCTCCTTGCTCTTGTACACACATGTTGATTCCTCCAGTTTGTACCTTCCCTGCCATGTGAGATGCTGCTGTCAGGGAGCTTACTTCCTCGCACAGCACTGGACATACCTTCTGCTGAGTACTCGCTCACTGGACTCGTCTCGTAGGAGGAGGCTCCACCAGCTGAATTACCACCAGAAGCAGATTGGCTGAAGAGTCTCAGCCATTCACGGATACCACTGGCGGGACTTCCAGTCTGAAGAGCAAGAGAGTCCCTGAGTGCAGACATCATTGCAAAGTCATTACATCTTGGTCCATAGGACGATGATCCACCATCTGTTTGGTAACTGTATGAATTAGCAGGAGCAAACGAAGCATCTGCAGAACACTCTTCATACTGAGGTAAAAAACCTTGATTCCAGTTAGAATTTCCTGAATAAATAAACAAACGGCACTAAAAGTTAGCACAATACTAAAATACCAACTGAAAACAAATACTTTGAGGTTTTATGAAGAGTTTTTCTCCTGTTCTTTTCCCATTTCCTGCCTTCACATCTTCATAGAATCATAGAATCCTTTAGGTTGGAGGAGACTTGCAAGATCATCAAGTCCAACCATCAAGCCAACACTACTAAGTCCTCCGCAAAAACAGAATCAGAATCTGTCAGGGATGGAAGGGACCACAAGGATCACCCAGTTCCAACCCCTCTGCCATGAGCAGGGACACCTCCCACTAGATCAGGCTGCCCAGAGCCTCATCCAGCCTGGCCTTAAAGACCCCCAGGGATGGGGCCTCAACCACCTCCCTGGGCAACCCATTCCAGGGTCTCACCACTCTCATGGTGAAGAACTTCTTCCTCACATCCAGCCTGAATCTGCCCACTTCCAGCTTTGCCCCATTCCCCCTAGTCCTGTCACTACCCTATATCCTAAAAAGTCCCTCCCCAGCTTTCTTGTAATCTTAATCCCCTTAATCTTACCCAAGTCCAGCACCTTATCAGCCCCAAATCCTCACATTAACTAGGTTAGGAAAGGTTCCTGCTTGAACTTCCAACCACTTTTACTGCTGAAATACTAATCAGTGATATAGGTGTGTTCTTAGACAGTCAAGGCTGAAGTCAGTAAGGCTTCAGAAAATGATATCCTGAACTAAGGCAGAGGGCAAAGACACACAACATGCCACCCAAGAGGCACTATGGCCAGCCATGAAAGTAAACTTACACAATCTGTGCAATGTTAAGAGTAGACTTAAACTAACAGAATAAAATAGCTAAATTACCTGTAGGCTTTCCATATGGCTTGTAGTGGTTTTGGATGCTTGTCCTCCCTGGAAATTCATTTTGAGATGCTGACATCAGTGGCCTCAGACTGTTTGTATAATTAACCTAGGTAAAGCAAAAGGTCAGACTGTCTGTTTTTCATCTGAAATCTTGATCACTCTAAAAAAAAAAAAAAACAATAGAAAGTTCCCCATAGCAAGTTAGCAGAGTACAATTCTAGGGGACAGCGAACTCCGTATGAAGGATGTCTCTGTTGTTCACGAGTACCACACAGAACAAAATTTTCAGAAGTATTATTTGGAAGAGGTATGTGTCTGGAGAACAGAATGAGGTGTCCACAGAAGGCAATGTCACTTGTTTCACATTTCTTCATTGCCCCACATCCCTCAACATCACCTGACTAAAATACCAAACGGGTGTGTGTGCAAATCCTGTCTCTACCTGGGGAGTGTAGAACAGAAAGCTCAGCTCCTGCCTGGGATGCAGCTACAGCAACTTTTAATTAGCTCACAAGAGCTGTGTGATGAGTCATTTTTGTGCAGATTCTGGTCCTTCTTCAGACTGCTTTTTCTACAGGTACTCCATTTTTACGCAAGGAAGCAAAGGACGTTAAGGGCCAACAGAAAGACAAGAACATCTTGCCTACCTTAGTCTTAACAGATTAAAGCTCTCAAGTGGGAGGAGAGCTACAAGTCACCAGAAAGAAAAACTTACCCACATGCCCACAAAATGGCATGTCTGGGTAGCACTTAAAGCCTGATTAATCTTAGAAGAAAAGCTATCAAGCAAGGGACCAGCTGCAAAGGAAGGATGACAACCAGACACTGTGAAGCAAAATGGTGTCCAAAACAGGGGGAGAATGGATGCAAAAGAAAACCAAACAGATGGAAGGTGATGGGAAATTAACAGAAATGTGCCCTGCAAGTAAGGTATTTGGTACCTCAAAATCATAAAAGAAAACCATGAAAGTATACTTAACTGAGGGGTTTTGACCCAAGCCTGAACTGTTACAGTTTGGCAGGGTGTTAACACAACAAATTCAAACACTCCATTCCTCCCAAAGCTAAACCAGCTCTAGTCAAGATTAAGTTACTTACTGCTGCTTTCTTTTCACAAAAGGCCTTCAAAGCTTCTGTGAGTTCCTGTGTAATACGAACAATAAGCGTTGCTTCTGAGTCTGAGGTGATGTGGAAAGTCTCCTGTTGAAAACCATGGTAAGAATTGGCCATTAGGATGCCAAAGGTTCATATACACAAACAGAAAGTTACACTTTGATTTTAGTATAACCAAGTTTATACTATTAGTTGATATATAAGACATATCTAATATACAAATACACAAACACGTAAGAAAAAATAAAATTGTGAATATAATTATGGCCTGATAAAAGGTAAAACATAAACCTGGAAGTCTGTGCCACTCCTGCACTGTCAATCATGAGCATTTTGCTGCAGATGGAGAAGGGCACAAGTCCTAAATTTATGTTGTCTGTGTAGAAAATAGAATAAAAAGTAAGCTTCAGCACCATATGATTCCCTTAGTTTAGTAACAAAATGATGCAGGCTTCCATTATAATTTTCCTACATATAATTTTGGGAACAAGAGATACCAGATGATATTGACATAATCCTGTACAGCACAGAACAGACATGGCTATTTGTCTTTCTCATGTGCAAAGAGACCAATTAGCAAGCCTATAAAGTTATAAGTGACTGCTTAAGTTCAAAGAATATCAGCTGTCTGTCATAAGGAACATAATTGTGGCAAGTCATGCAGTTTCACCAGCATGATGCAATGACGACTGTGAAGGAGCCTCTGATTACTGATCAAACTCATCTGACCACAACATTAATTTCTATGTTAACAGACACTGAAAATGTAGTGCAGCCATGGTGTAGTGTCAGCTCAGAACAACTTGAGCTCATTATTCTCTATACTTACCAAGAACTCCAGAGCTTTCTGTTTCCGAACAGGATCGTTCTGGGGGATTGTAGAATGGGGAATTAAAATTAAAAGACTGAATACTACAATATTTGTTGTATCATCTTGCACAAAACAAGATCACTTAATCTTTTATCCAGCAACAAAAGCCCACACAAAGAAAAGACAGTAATTTTAGGTCACAGCCATAAACATGTAACATTAAAGTAGAGCCTTGGCAGCAGCTACTACAAATACAACTGTATTCAACAAGCTGTGATGAACACAAAATTCTGGTCATTCGGTCAATTATTTTGCTTCTGCAGTAATATTAATAACACAGTAAATGAAGCCAGAGTAAAAGTTTTTCAGAAACATGAAAAGCAAGCCTAAGGAAACTGCTAGAACCTAAGACACTTGCAGAATTACTGCCTTTACATACCTCACGCTTACAATCATCTTCCCACCTCAAAAAGAAAGAAATGACAAAATTAAGATGCACTCTAAAGATTAAAATGCAAAAGATTAAAAAGTTATGTTTACTCACAGTATCTAGAATCAAAGTATTTCCATTTTCAAATTTACATTGCCTACCAATACAAGATATCTTTTTCTATGGTGTAATTAAACCACTATTATTTCTTAAAGCTGCTTATTCTGGCTCACAAAGAGGTCAGTAGTACTGATGAACTTCCTTACAGATTCGCTGAAGGAGATGACTAAAGTAAGTGGGTTTTATTTCCTGCATGAACAGAGGTGCCTTTATACAACTTACTCAGGCAATGTCATCCCAAATAAAGTGGCAACAGCCTGAAATTTGAACTGCAATTTTTTTCATGTACATCAGACTGCTACTGAACTGTGTAACCAGTGCAATATTTCAAAAGCCACAGCTACTATTTCCTCACAGACAGAAAGAAACAATTTATACAAGATGACAAAGTACAGCAGAAAGACAATATAAAATATTTTCCCTATATGTAATGATGTTTGTTACAGCCCCTGTGGGGGCAGTATTCTCACCTTGCTTTCTTCTTTGCTGGAGCTAGAAAATGAAAAAGAACTATTAGCAACATCACATCACAGGGTTTCCACTGTATTACAGCAACAGAAGCACTACACACACAGAACAGTCACTGGCTCTGAAGTGGCTGTGCTTTCTGGAAAGGACAGGCCTCTGTGCAAAAGGTGAAATGGTTTGTTGGGTTTTCTTCTGAGAACACACCAGTGAGCCTCAAAGCTGCAAAAACAACAGTTCAGTCTCCAACCAGAAGTTACAGAGCTTAGGATGTCTCATCATCTTTGCCAGTACAGTGTGTAAGCATGAGGAAGGAGGGAAAGCTCAGCAGAACAAGGTAGTCTAAGACAGTAGCTCTGCCTCAGACAGCTACTGCATGGTACGTATCTCATTACTTCCTGAGGACTGATCAGCACTGGTGTTCCAGGATAAGCAAGAGGATGTAGAGGGAATTTTAACTGCGTCACAAGATGGCGTCCTGGAAGCCCTTATGAACAACTCAGGCTACAAGGAATATGATGAAATACTGGAGGTGAACCTTAAGGGCATCGTGCCCTTGAGGCTCTAGGCAGGAAGGACATGGGGGACAGCTCCACAGCGTCTGTGCAGATCAAAGCTTGGCCAGACCTTGCAAGCAGGAGACCACCCTGTCAGCGCCTTGGCGCGTGGACAGAGACATTTAATCTATGGGGATACGGGGTCAGAGCGTGGCTGTGCAGTGCTAACCAATACGAAAGTATAAACTGTGTGTGATCGGTCACCCAGTGTATAAATACAGCTGCCTGTGGAGATTAAAGCGGAACACTGACGAACCTTCTGTGAAGTGTGTCGTGATTCTGGGGCTCCCCGCACAACAAGAGGACAAGTGACACCTTTGCCCCTGCAACACCTGACTGAAAGATCCATGTTACCATCTTAACCACCTGATGTTGACAGGCACGTGTCCAGCCTGGGCCTTCCCCAGTGCCTGCTCCACAGCATCAGTGGTGACGGTGACGCAATTGCCAACTGGCTTGGGCTGGATACTGGTTTTGTATCCATTTTGGTCTATTATTTTAATTACAGCCAGTTTAGTTTTCTTTTCCAATCCCTAAGTCTCTCCTCCCCTTTGGGAGAGGAGAGGGGTGAACAGAGAGCATCTGCTATAGCTCTAGTGGATGGGCCTGACCCTAAAACTTGACACCAACACATTAAAGTCCCTTACAACTATTCTTTGAGCCTGACGGTTCAGACACCTTTTACCCACCCTGTAAGAATTACCTTCTCTCCTCAGTTTGGCTGTAAGTATAACATGGGAAGACTGTTGGAAGCTTTACTAAAGTGACATCCATACTTCTTCCCCTGCCCACAGAGCCAGTCCATGTCAGCCAGGCTGGTAAATCCAGTTTGTCCTTGGTAAATCCACACTGGCTAGTCTCACTATTCCCAGTCACCTTCTTGACCTTCACATACCAGTAAATGACAACCACAAGGACTTGCCCTGTAATTTTTTATGTTTGGGACAGCCTGTAGCTATGTTTTACTTTTGAAGATAAACACATTTGGGTTTTTTCCAGTCTCCAAGTAACTCCTTGGATCACTGTGACCTTTCAAAGATTTTCTGAAGGAGCAGACAGATCCCTCAACACCAGAAGCATCCCTTTTTGTCCTATGGCCTTGTACACGTTCAACTTGCTCTTCCCTAAGTTGATGCTTCTCTACAGTACGCAATTCCATTCTGCCCTAAGCTTTACAACTGTACACAAAGATCTGAGAGTAGACCTTCTCAGTAAAGACCAAGGCAAAGAAAGCCACAAATAGCTCAGACTCTTCCATGTCATTCATCACCAGGCTACTTGCTCAGCAGCCGGCCCTCATCTTCTTTTGCTACTGTCATACATGCCATGTAGAAGCCTTCCTGTTGTCCTTCGTATTCCTTTCACCTCCAGGCAAGCTTTGCCTTCTTAGTTTCATCCCAAATACATCTGCAATTCTTATACATTTCTGCTTGGCAGCCTGCCTCTGCTTCTGTTCTCTGTAGGCTTCCTTTTAGCATTTAAGATCATGCAGGAGTTCCCTGCTCAAACACACCAGCCATTTGCTATGCCTGCTCATATTTTTGAACAGCAGAATGATCATTTCTGCTCTTTCAGGAGGTTCTCCATGAAGACTGGTTAGCTCTTTTGAGCTTCTTTTCCTTTCAAAGCAGCTTCTCAAGGGTTCCTGACTATTAGTTTTCTGAAGAAGCTGAAGTCTGTTCTCCTGAAGCCCAAAGTCATTAATCTGATAGGTCTCTGCCACCTTGTTTTGCAGACCAACATTAAAAGGTACAATCCAGCGGAGCCACCAATGGTAAATAAAAAAAAACAGCCAACTGACCAACCAACCCACAACCAAGTAATTCATAGACTTACATGATGTACTTGGTCTTACGTAACCTTCAATCTAGGAAGAGAAATAGTTTCATATTAGATTTTCTGATTAAAATTTCATTAGCAGTCTCTACTGCAACTGCCTTTAGAAAAGGAACAAATACATTTATTTTATCTGACTATAGTGTAGCCCATAATTTTATACATATATAACCTTGTAAATATAAATTAAATTTGAGAAAAAAATTGCTTACTTTGAGAAAAAATAATTTAAGTAAAGCAATAAAATTTCTAAACCACTGAGTTCAGACTGAACATTTTCTACTTAAAAAACCCTAACTTCTTAAAAATAAACAATTTTGGTTTTTTCAGATGAATTTCAAAACTACTGTTCTTTTCCCCAGATATGTTAGGGCAACTTTAAGGTAAGCCTTAATATAATTTAATACTATACTTTCTAGAAACACAGAAATTTAACAAGCTTTGTCAGCAGTATTTTTAAAATACACTAGGTCAAACACGAATGCACTGATGAAACACACCATTCCAGATACTTTACATTTACTTCCAATTACCTTATACATTTTTAATCCTTCAGTCTTTTCCAGCTCTCCTGCTATCCGTCTGAGGAATGAGACTTTACATTCTTTTACATCTGTTGTCTTTCTCTTCATTTTATCTGGAAATTCTTTAGACTGTTGACAAAACCATCTTGAAATGATCAGTATCAAAATTCATTACAGTATTAAAAAGTTGGCACATTTCACCTTCTGGACAAGCTTCCAAAAGACTGGGAAACATAGTTTTGAACACTATGAGCTAGTTTCCTCTCTGTAACACAACTAATTAAATTTTAAAGTTGCTTAAGTAATCTTCAGAACAAAAAATGGATAGTATGTAAAGCTTAATACCAAAACATAGCTTGGTCTGTACCATATCCAACAATGCTATGGGCACATTAAGGAATAAGAAAGAACCACAACCTTGTAGGAACCTCATCCTGGACGCAACCAAAACACTAAAGAGCAGACTTGGAGCAGATACAGGAGCACGCCCCTGGATTGCACGGCCTCAATAGCTCACAGCTTCATATCTGCTCATGCTGATCTGACCCACAGTCAACCATACAAGCATTAGCAATTTATCATATGGGGGTTTAAACTTCAAACTTGATGTAAGTATTTGTAGGAGAAAAAAAAAGGGGGAGTACCATAAAGAAAGTGTGATCAAAATGCACTAAAATGACTCACGATGTATGCTCTTCTGTGTTTATATCCACTGAGATGTTCTATCATAGGTGCCATCTCTGTATGAAACCCACACAGCCTGCACTCATAATGTGGCTCTTTTCTTCCTTCAAATCTGATTTCAACCACATGTTCTAAACCTATAAAAGTAAGAGTTACAAATATCTATATTTTAATATAGACTACTATAAACAAACATACTATCTTCCACGTTGATCATTAAAAGCCAAAATGAATAAATAAAAGCACTCCATTTTCAGAATTTCAACACTTCTGCAAGATCACTTCAGCACTTCTTTGGTCCTATTACCCAGATCAGTTAAATTTATCTTTTATAATGCTTTATTCTGAGAAGAAAAACACTGTCTATGGCAGATTTTCAGGCCTGCCAAAACAAAGTATTTCAGGTACCTTTTTTCCTGCCTGGGATATTTTCAAGTAACTAAGAAAGAGTCTTCAATTCAATACAGTCATGAAAGAGTATTCATGAAGAAGTGCATGTAAAAAAGAGAATCAGAATAGGAAGTTCCATGCAAATGTCTAGATTAAAACACTGCATTTAAACTATTAGTCAAACGTAACATGGACAGTGTCCAAATAGCATAAAGCACATGTAGTAAAAACAATAATCATTTCACAAAATTGAGTTCATCATCTAAAAATCTTCCAGAAACTTTTAACAATAACAGGAATGAAAGTGGGATTTTTCTTCATTTTTCCTAGAAATGACTGAAAGATTATGCCTTTTAGAAGTCCTTAGAGATATTTACATTTGAGGCTTCTACCTAGCATGAAAAGTTTTACTCTCAGAGGCTTAAATGTAGTAAGTGTATAAGCAGCTTACAACAAATAGGAAAAACCTGCAGCTGTTTCCTGTGATCATAATTTCCAACAGTGTGTATTTGTGATGGGCTGACCCCACCCAGGAGTCGAACACCACCCAGCTGCTGGCTCACACATTCACACAGCATGGAAGAGGAAAATCAAGAAAACTCCTGGGCTTAGACAAATGGTTTAAGAGGGGAAGGAAGGGAGGAAAAAAAGAATAAAAAAAAAAATATCATGTAAAAACCAGTCACCTCCCCACAAGCAGATCAATACCTAGGCAGCTTCAGAACAGCCACCTTGGAAGCTAACCCCCCCCAACTCCCATTTCTTCTTCCTTTCCCTCAGCTGTGATGGCTGAGCATGGCATTATGCAGTACAGAATATCCTTTGGGGCAGTCTGGCTCAACTGTCCTAGCTGTGCCCCTTCCCAGTCTCTTGCCCACTCCCAGCCTACTCAAGGGGTGAGGGGTGGGGACCCACAGTGCAAGAAGAGTCTTGACACTGAGCACTGCTCAGCAACAACCAAAACACTGGCATGTTATCAACACTGGTTTAGTTGCAAATCAAAAACACACAGGCTGCTGTGAAGAAATTCAGCTCCTCCTCAGACCCACCACATTATTGTACTGCTAAATCTTAACTCTGAAAACAAACCAGCACCAAATGAACTGTGTACACAAGAACGTAACACTTTGCTGTTCACCTTCTTCTATGAAAAATGCTTATACTACTAAATTGCCACGCTTTTAAATATTAGTACTGTATGTGGAGTAACAGCACGACTACTAAACAGAAAAATCATCTGCTAATACTAGGAAATTTACTACTTAGCTCTTCATCATGGAACATATTTCTCTAGACCCCCAGCACATACTAGGAATGCTAAGGCCACTGAGAAGCAGCATTGCTTATCCTCTCCTAAAGGTTGCCTGATCTAGCAATCAGAAAGAAAGAAAACCTTAAAATTCATCTCATTACTTTTAGTATTGCCAAAGACAGCGAGGAAAAACATCTCACTAAACAGAAACACCTGTACATCCCAACAAAATGGAAAACTACAAAAAAATCACCTGATGACAAGTCACCAGTGGCATGAAGTCTAGCTGGAGACCAGTAGGTAGTGGAGTACCCCAAGGGTCAATAGTGGGTCTGGTCCCATTGAACACCTTCCTTAAAGACCTAGATGACATGGCAGGGTGTACTCTCAGCAAGTCTGCTGATGACACAGAACTAGGGTGGATGGCAAATGCACCAGGGGGTTGTGCTGCCATCCAAAGGGACCTCAGCAGGCTGGGGAGTTGGGCTGACAGGAACTTCATGCAGTTCAGCAAGAGAAAGTGCAAAGTCCTGTACCTGGGGAGGAACAAGCCCAGGTACCAGACAGCTGACCAGCTGGAAAGCAGACTAACAGAAAAAGCCCTCTTTGGACACCAAGTTGAAGATCAACTAGCAATGGGCCCTTGTGGCTAAGAAGGCTAATGGCATCCTGGGCTGCATGAGGAGTATTGTAATCAGGCTGAAGGAGATGATCCAGCCTCTCCACTCAGCACCAGCAGGACCACATCTGGAGTGCTGTGTCCAGTTGTGGTCTTTCTAGTGCAGGAAACAGGAACTGTCATGAAGATGATGCAGGCACTAGAGCATCTGTCCTGTGAGGAAAAGCTGAGAGAGCTGGGACTATTTAGGCTGGAGGAGAGGAAGATGAAGATGTGGAAGAGGACCTCATGAAGATGTGTAAATGCCCAAAGGGAGGGTGCAAAGAAGAGGGAGACAGGCTCTTTTTAGTGGTGCAGGACAAGAGGCAACAGGCACAAACTAAAACACAGGAGATTCCACCTGAACATCGTGAAACACCTTTAACTGTGAGGGTGACCAAGCATGGGCACAGGTTTGCCTGGGAGACTGTGGAGTCTCCTAAACCTTGGAGATATTCAAAAGCCATCTGGACATGGTCCTGGGCAAACAGCTCTGGCTGACCCTGCTTGAGCAGGGAGTTAAGACCAGATAACTTCCAGAGGTCCCTTCCAACCTCCACCATTCTGTGAAAAGCTGCTTTACTACAAATGGCTCCTTCAGTAACAAGTTGTCTTAACAATTAAGGTGTATAAAAGAGATATATATCCTATAAATTATTCAATATACCTACAGACAATGAAACAATATTAAAAATTCCACCTTTTATCTCAAAAGCCATTTGGTTAGAAATTCAAAGACATACCATCTAAAAAAAAAAAAAAAAACATACCAACTAGAGGTTCTTCTCTTTTGGGATCATTCATAAAATCCTTCAGACAGGTTAAGTCCTTTGTGAGTCCTCTCTTTGCTAACGTAAAAAAAATATATGTAAAGAGATAGCATTAGACAGTTTACACGTAACTTCTATGGTTTTAAAATAGTTTCGAATTGAGAATTAAGTGGGACAAAATTATACTCTGAAATGCATTAGGAAAATGGGCAAGATCTCAGTTACTCAAAAAAAGATTCCAACAGTTTTCCATAACAATTTGCACACTAAAAGAGAACTACGCAAGCAAAACAGACCTTCTAACACAATCCAATTTACTGAGGAAAGATACCAAGTTCACATTCATAGCATGCCCCAATCCTTGTCAGTTCTCATTTAAAAAACAAAACAAACCCACAAAACCTCCTTCTTCCCCTAGACCCCTAATACTCATTCAGCATACTGGCATTGCTTGTTTGGAGTCTGAAATTCAGGAGTTAAATTGCCTTAAGTCTAACAACACATAATCTTCACTAATGCAGCACATGCCTCTGGTACTCTGAGCAGGCCAGGAGCTGCACAACCACAGTCGGTATGTTCCTGAGCCTGAACTAGCAGTGTTTCAATTAGGGCTGTATCTTGTTTCTGACTGAGTTTTAATAGCTTGGTTTTTGCACTGCCTAAAGCACTTTTGAGCTATTCCTGGTCAGCTCGGAGCACAGAGTTCAGCCAAACGCATCTGCAAAATAATCTCAGAGGCATTAAGTGTATTCAAGTGCTGGCCATTGTAAAAGAGCATGCTGAAGTGTTAAATGATGGACTTTTCATCTAAGAAAAAAATGTGCAGAATAGAACTCGTCTTCCTAATTACATACAGCTGGACTTTGACTGATGCATTTCATAGGAGTGATAAACACTGCTCATTTCTTCAAATCAGAGCAAACAAGTAGAAATACCACAAGCACTGAACTGTTACTGTATTCTTTCCTCGTAGGATACCAGGTTAGGGGTTAAAAAAAAAAAAACACAACAGCTTCAGGCGAATAGGGAATTCTGTGCTTGCTTTTAAATATTCATTCTATTAGGAACCTGCTTGTGCCACCAGCAAGTCAAATTCCAGGAATACACACACACACATAAAAAAAAATCACAATTTTTCAGCATTACTTTATATGGAAAACTTTTTGCAATTTAATTGTGGTAGAAAATACCTGATGGGACACCTCCTGCCATGGCAACAGCATGGCCCATTCCTACCACAACTTCACAGTCTTGCTAAAATTCTCTGTTGTTTTGTTTTTTGTCTGTGGTGACAGGCAGCACTAGCGCAGTGTGACAGAGCTGACATGTAACTAGTTGCTGCCACGTAATGAACATCTAGAGACAGATTTTTAGCAACACTGAAATGTATTACACAATTCTCAGGGATTTGTGTGCCTGTGCAATAGCTCTCAGTGTAAGCTGGCTGTTTTCAAGCTGACAGTGACATGCATATGGTCTTTTGGACTTAATATGAAAAAATACACACAGAAAAAAGTTTAAAGTCTCTACAAGGTAATGGCCATTTGCTTCTTAACACACAACTAAATATTCTTGTCTTAGTATCATCTTGGTAATAAACAACCCATACTGTTCTTTTTTTTGTTTTGTTCTTTACTTGTATGCTTTTGTTTTGTCAAATGTTCACTGTATATCGTATGTATATACATGTTTGCTGCAAAATTTTGTTGAAAACTTCACCACCTAAAAAAACCCATTAGCTATATTAACTGATACTACATACTACCAGATAATCAGAAGACAGAAATTATGTCTCAAGTTTGAAAGTGTTTCTCTAAAAATACTCATGACTTTACATTCTTCTAAGATCAATTCTTACATAAATTAAGCAGTACACAAGAGAAAAGCAATAGTTCAAATGTTTGGTAACTTCCATTACTTCTTACCACCATAATCATCCCCCTGCTTGGGTCATTGAAACAAAACCATTGATTTCAAAGTTGCACCTGAAAACAGCATTAGGTCATTTATATTCAGCTACCTGGTCTCTGTGTTTCATACTTCATTGGAGTTTGGACTGGAGCTGGAGGACCTAGGATAACAGTTTGACAGTCAGACTACTTCTCACTTGCAGTTAATTATTAAGTACCTAGTAGATGTTCCAAACAAGTTGAGAACTGAACAGTCATCTTCATTTTACAGTTTACCATAGGCTCAGTAAGAGCAGTATTCCATCTTAGTACTTCTCTTCTGTATTTACTGCTCTAAGAAATAGCCTTTACTTCCCCTCCACCTCCCCACCAACATAACATACCAAACACAGGAATGTCACAGAATCAAAGCATTCAACTTTTATTTGATTTTTAAGTGCTTTTCATACCACCTAGCTAATTACTTTAACCATTCAATATTGTGTATGACAGTCAACCTGTGTTACAGGTACCTGACAAAACTTCTGCTCTAAACATTCAGAGCCTAAACACAGTGCTAGAGACAATTCAGAAAGTCATTAAAATGTATCTTCTTTTACATAGGGTTCTGTATACATTATTTGGACTGAATTTTTAAGTGTGCTTTTGTAAAGGTATTTCCACTCCCCTCTTTTGAAACTTCCTTCCCTTGCTCCCCTATTCCCTCAAATCCATAAACACAGACACAACACAAGCTCATTTGAACGTTCTCAGTATTTTGCAAGTTGCAGCACTCACAATTAAAACAAGATGACACCAGTCATTACCAACAGTCATTTATTATTATTAATAAATTATCTATTATTGTTTATTGGAAAAAGTGAAATTTTAAGTTAAACTATATGTCTATGTAATTCCTATTTTTGAAATGCAGTTTTCCACAGTCATGGAAAATACAACATGTTGTATACATTAGTGGTTTTCTCTTAAGAGATACATATGAAAGCTGTAAATCAAATCAAAGTTGTAAACATTTTGTAAACAGCTGTGCAACATTACCATAAGGGAGCGACATAAGAAAGCATATCTTCCTTGATTTCTTATAACAAATAATCCATCTTTTTCAGTAAAAAGCTTCAAAGTCTATGGTAGCATGAACAAAAGATCTCCAGGTACTCTACAAGTACAAAAATTACTTAATTCCAGAGTTGGTCAGTTAGGTCAGTTAGTGCCCCAAACACAAGTTATATGGCAAGTGTAGCATCTTCAGACTGACAAAGTGGACAAATGCTAAATGACACAAAGGTACCTGTGAAATTGGATTTTTAGTGCTTTATTTTCCCTTTACTTCCAGTAACAAATTGTATTTGCTGAGAATTACACCAGAAGCAGTTTTGCAGTGCTGTCTGCCTTAACCCAGTTGAGGTTTACATATGTGGTGTAATGGTTTGAAAGTAAAAATAAACACTGTGTGAGACTCTCTGCCCTTGGAGATATCTGACTTTCAGTCAGAAAGTGACGATCCGGTGCTGGTAGTAGTCCTGCTTCAATCAGGAAATTAGGATATCACCTAATCAATTTCAGGAAATCCCTTCCAATAATGATTTAGTAAGAAATATTTTCCAGATACTAGGTGTCTACATGAACAAAAAAAAAAAAAAAACAAATCCCTTTCCTTTTCATGTTGAACGACACAGTACTGAAGCCATTTCTTTGTTCTTCATGTTTTACATCTATCTATACATGTATTTGTAATGTACACATTCCTAATGACTGCCAGAAATACAACAGCTGCTTCAAAACTTAAGGATAGTTTCGGACATTGTCAATTTAGTTAGTGGCAACAAAGAGGTACTGGATTTGGCACTGTAGATTCACCTGCGAATACAAGAGGTGAAGTGCACAAAGACTATACTCCACTGCATTGGGGAACTCCCCAAGAGAGAGGCAGTAAGGGAGTGAGTATTTCTCAATCTTAGCACCTCTATTATGGCTTCTGAAACATTTTTCTCTTCTAATGTGCAGTTCAAAAGAACTTCCAGGTTTCTGTTCTTTGAAATCATGGTAGCTCTACACCCCAAAGCCTTACGCGTGTAGTAATCAGCGCTTGACAGATACTGAGCATGGAGGTATATGTTAAAATAAATACATTTGTCTTACACCATAAAGCTGAAGTGCTGATCAGGATACTGTTAAGATAGTCACTGGTGAACCCAAGGCAGAATACATGACATTTCTGCTTTCACTGGAGGCAGAACTTGCAGTCAGTGCTGTTCAATGCAGTTTATCTTCAGATCTGATTACTCCCCTTGACTCCATGCTTTACAGAATGACCATGATGAAGCTTTCTTTACTCTCAGCGCTACTCACAGGTTTTAAATTGAAGAATGTAGACACAGGCTGCCAGATCCAGCAACTAAACACTTACAATATCCCTTATTATACTTTTCATCTGTACCACTGTAAAAGAAGTAGTGCAAGCTAACTCTGCATCCTTCTGCAATGCAAGGAAAATTCCACAGGCTACACAAAAAAATATATCACAGTCATTCGCTCTTCTTTTGCCAAAATTAATTTCACCAATAAAACTAGGCAGCCCAGAAACATCTTTAAAAGGGCTCATACCATGTCTTCTACCAGAGCTACCTCATTTTAGTAGTAAACCACTGGATTTTGTTATTGCCCAGGGAACATTTATCTAGCATGTATATTGGTATTCATTCCCACATCATTTAATGCCTCTTGATCAAAGCAAAAAGTTTTCCAAACTTCTGTCTGCTTTGGTCAAAAGGTCCCATGAAAGAAAGCAATGTTCAGTCTCCTCCCCTCTTTACCCTGAACACATGTGCAATAGCCTCAACTACAGCTGAAAGCCTTCCATCAAATTATATCATTATATAAAGAAATTACATGACTGAAATTTATACCCTTAACTGAGTTCTGATTTAACTCTCTTAGTAAAGTCCTAGAACGTCAGCATCTTCTCTTCCCACATCTTCCATTAAGTTGCTCTCCTCTGAACTGCTGGAGAGCAGGCAATCCAGATATACAATTCTGTCATTACCACATCTCATTATGGAAACTTGCAGGGTATCCAGATGTCCTCCTTACAGGAAGTGGCTCTCCTCCAAACACAATCATCTGGAAACAGATGCGCTTCCTGACTTAACTGACTCCAAAGCCAACAAGACTGTACAGTTAAACAGCCAGGTTACTCATGCTCATTACCTCTGGATTACATATTAACAGCTGCTTTTGAGTTCAGAGGAGATATTGTACCTGGCATATCCCATTTGAAAACTCAGAATCCAAATGTCTTTTTAAATTTTAGTTTACAAATAACAGCAGCATTGGTGGTGTTCTTCCTACCGACAAAGGAATGCTTTTTTCATACTGCCCTCTGAAGTACCTGCTCTTCTTTAGACAATGTACATTTCAGGTTTTTGGCAGGTTTCATCCTGACCGATTTCCAGGAAAAGTCATCAATCCTGATTTCCAGGAAAACTTTGATAACATCCATATGTATTTGTTCCTGGCTCTCTGAGTTCCAGCTCTGTGAACACGCTGCCACATTTTGCTCTCACTAGAGTATCTGATAACATGAACTTAGAAAGTTTGCAGATCCAGCAGCAACAACAGAAGCATCTCATTAATTTATATCCCAAAATAATACTACTCATACTTCACATAGTGCACATTATTTAAGAATATCCATACTTTCCATGCTCATGCACAAGTCTTCACTACTTAATATTTTGTTCACGCTTACTATATACATCTGCAAACTGTAGGAAAAAAAATCATCAACTCTTTAAAATGAAAGAACAAAGTTCAAGCAAACGCAAAATTTATTCTTGTATCTCAGTGACAAGGTACAATGAATTTCCTTGATCTGCTGGCTCTTGATGGGGAATTATTCAGGTAATTGGTAGTATGTCCATAGGAGAGTTTCATGAAGTTCTGCATATACAGAACATAATTCTGCACTGCAGTTCCCAAAATGAAATCTGAATTGCCATCTTTGAACAGTTACTCAGGTGGAAAACTTTTCTACCTGTAAAAAAAAGCAAACCACACAAAACAAAACAAACACCCAACGCAACTAAAACATACAAATAAACTTCACTGGTCAAAATTTCAGCTTCTTTTTGACAAATAAATCCTAACAGCATCTTGCAAATTGGCCTCCCACATCTGGATCTTCAGTGAAGCAAATTCAATATGGATAAAGAAGACTAAAGGAGACATCAATAGGATGTATAATCATTTCATGTTAGAAGTAAAAGATGCTGATTGCTTCAAAATGATTCCTGAGGCCCAGAGCTTTCTGGTTTAAAGCACATCTTGCAATGCTTCTGAAATGTGGTACCTTGTAATGCTAGGGCTCCTCCAGAAGTCGGCTCTAACTTGTTTACCAAAGGATCACGTCTGGATTCTTGACTTTAATAATCAGATATTTTAACTTATCTCTTCCTGTTCTGTAAGATATATCACAGTTGATTCTAACCTATGACATTTCCACAGATGCAGTGTTTATAGCAAGCATATTTCATAACCAGAATTCTCCAGGGAACGCTGAGCTTGCAGTACATTAAGCAATGCTGTTTTCTGAAGGCATAGGTCTTTCCACAGGCTCCCATACTCTTCAGTCTTGCTGTCACAACTTCTGACCTCTTATTCACGTCTCAATGTCTGTCCCATGCATCCTTCACACTACTTACTTACTTAATTACTGCTCCAAAACAGGGTTTTATGGTCTTGAAGTAAGAACCTCTTCAGTTAATGAGTATTACTTTTAATAACCATTTCTGACAAGAAATACAAAGAAATCTCTAGAAATCACCTGGATTGACTATTAAATCTACTAATTTAGTGCATTGATTAAAACCACCAGCCCACTGCCAAACAAATCTGTTCTTGTCACTGAGGTATAAATACACTTTAGGACTGCTCAAATCCATTGGATTTTCAGGAGACCTGTAAGTTTTCAGTACTTTTGCAGAAATTCTTCAGTACCAGTATTTCTAACAACAGCAGATCTGCACACAGTACTCATGTCTGCCGACGCTAAATGGCTCATGGTCGTTCACACACTTGAACGACGTCTTGTACTCATACACTCTTGTCAACACCAAACCAGGAG